TCAGGAAGAACAACCTTCAGAACATGGCTAAAGAGCCCGAAAAACCCAGAACAACCATTAGATCCTGGCTGTGAAAGCCTTCGCGAATATATTCGGCTGGCATAATCTTTTGGGGACTGCAACCCACTGCATCTGATAAAGCAGACTTCAATTCACAGGGTTCAGGTTTTAAGATGCCAGGAAACTATTTGCTGTTTTTACCCACTAAGCAGCAGCAATGATGGCAACATAAATAAAGCAACTTCCATGTTACGCAAAAATAGGGAAAAAGATTAAAAATGGATCTGCGAGTATTGTAAATCAATGTTTTAATGCACATTTATGGTACACCCAGACTTCAGAAGGATATTGAAGGACTGGTAACAATGCAGAAAAAAGCACCAAAAGAACCAGGGTGCTGAAGCAGTTCTTCTGTCAGGAAACGTTGTCACATTTGATATGTCTTTGTTTTTTTGAAAAGCAAATGATAGGATAATATAATAGAAGTGCAGCAAAGACTGAAGAATAGAGACTGTACAACAGAGATATAATTTTTTTGACTATTGAATTATACCTGACAGACAAGACATCTTACAGACACCTGAATGTGGATCACCTGAGGAAAAAGTCTCTACTACGACTAGTTTTGCCCAAGCTTCCTCCTGCTGCCTCTCTGCTTGCTGGGAGTTTTGGTTCTAAACAGCAAGCTAGATGGATTTAAGTCTCAAAGCCCTCCATTTAAGACCAGGCGAGCCACACACGCCTCACAGTCCTTGATCTTAAGATTTGTGTATTTCTATTTAAAGATAGGGTTGTTGTTTTAGTTAGTGGCAGGCTTTAATGTACAGTATTTTATTGTATTTATTATATGGTGTTTTACTGCGCCATTTTATTGTATATTTTATATTGTGAACCACTCGGAGGNATAAATAAAAAATTTATGATAGAGGGATGGATGGATTTTAAATTTGTAAGGTGTCTGTCTGTCAGATAGAATTCCCAGATAGGATAATTATGGGATTTGTAGTTTAAAACAAACAGCCCATTACTACTGTAGAATTAAGCCTTCCTAAGTCTTTAGCTGCCACTGAGGCTTCTTGAAAAATCCTTCACTTTCCCACAAGAGGGAAGAGATACTGACTAGAGAATCAGTGCTTCTCCTGGAACTGCCTTCTGGTTGAGAACTACCATAGCAGTTGTTGGTTATGCAGGGAGTTACACCAGCAGGCATCAGCAAAGGATGATGCCAACTGGAAGTTACCCTTCAATGACTCTGAGGCTAGACAAAGACAAGCTATTTATACAGAGTTGGGGAGTACAGTAATAGATATGGCAATTTGTCATTTTATCATTTCTTCCTGTTTTGCTACATTAACAAAAGAAAATGGTATTTCTCTTCTCAAACCACAGAAATTATTCTTGAATGCACTGAAACCTCCAAAATATCTGCACTGAACAAATTAGAAAGCATTTATACCATTGCTTGAACACGAAGCAAGATGGAATCAGAAAGTTAGTCTGTTAGTGCAGAGGAAAAGAGTAACAAAAGTACTCTTTTTTTCAACTTTTTTAAAAATATTGGAATTAAACTGAATAAATTGTTGAGAATTATGTTAGAGAAGTGTTTCCCAAGGGGCTCAACAGGTCATCTTATATGTGTGGTAGCTGTTCTTAAATAATTTCTTCCTTAACCTTTTGGAACAGGATATTAAAGTTAACTCATATATGTATGTATGAGAGACAGGGCCTTTTGGGGAGAAAGGAGCATCTACTTTACTTGATTAAAAATCCCCCCTTTTTTGGCAAAGGTGGCATGGGGTTTTCATGTTCGTTTGTTTGATTGTTTATTTGTTTATTTATTTAAAATATTTTTACTCCACCTTTCTCCTTAAACAGACCCAAGATTGCTCGACTATTATAAAAGACGGTCACAACTCAAGAAAGGTTGGGAATCACTGTTCAGAGGATACATGCCATACAGTTAAAGTTTTAATTAGCAACCAAATGCCATTGTTTTTAGTCTAAAACTAAAATACTTAATCCAGCATCAAAGCCAGTCTCAAAAGGTCTGTCCTCACCAAGGTAGTTCAATTCTTGAACAATGAGAACACAAAGATAGATCACAGATAAAAGAAGACTGTAGCTATAGACAAAGTCAAACTGGTATTCCTGAGAATTTCCCAAAAAAATCAGGCTTAATTTTGTTGAAAACATACATACATACATACATACATACATACATACATACATACATACATACATACATACATACATACATACATACATACGTACGTACGTACGTACGTATGTACGTACGTACGTACGTGTGTGTGTGTGTTCATAAAGGGTTCATAAAGCTCTCCAAAAGCACACTTCAAATGAATTGATTTTTTTTCAGTTATTTCACATTGTGAAAATGGTAACTTTCATATTAAGCAGAAGCACAAGGAAACAGATGCTTCTGAATCTAAAAAACAATGTTTTGAAAGTACAATTACTGCCATTATTTTTTAATATTACTTTTACACAACGGGATTTCTTATCCTCTTGTCCAATGGAAATATAATTATTTCACTGTTAACATATTAAATGTAATGCATTATTTCCTAGCCCAATTTTTTACTATTACAGATTTCAAGGACTGGAAAAGAACATTTCAAAAATCACAAGAGTTGCTCAAACATGCTACAAGTACGGCCTATAATTCAGCTATATCTACATGATGCAGAAAATAAAGATGATTGTCAGCAACTTGGCATATGATTTATTGAATAGTAGAGTCCTTGAAGGTAATGAATATTGGCTAAAATCCTGTTATGCAGCAATGGCGTATCACCAATAATTAAAGGCTTCCTTTGGAGATTTCAAGAAGCATACATCCTGGTGACTTTGTGTACATGTCGCATGCAATGCAAAATTCCCTGCCTTGAGGATTCTGGACAACGCCTGCGAGTGAAAATCCTAGAATTATGAAAATCCCATCCTTCGTAAGCAATGGAACAATGCAGGCACAGAAAGTCTGCACTGTATAAAATGCTTTTAAATGAACACTAGCCGCACAGAAAATTGGAGACCCTCTTTGTGATACTACAAGAGCAGAAAACACTGCCACTCACCTAATCGAAAACTACTCCTCTCTCTCTCTCCGCCTCCTCTCCCTGGGATTCAAATGACCTCTACATTACCTCCACAGCATGTACTCTAAAATGAAATGTGTAGTTGCAGTGTCTTGGTGGGGAGTAGTTATGTGTGAAAAGGTTATCTCAGTAGATGTAGTTGGCAATTGCTGAAACTTCTACTTCCTTGCAACTATTAAAGATACAAGAAC